CTAAATTTTGACATAAGTATATACCATGAACTATCACTGCAATAAAGATAACATATCCATCACACTGCAGAATTTCTTTATGTCCCTTTGTAGTTCCTCCCTCTTGCCCCTTCCGATCCCCTCTATAACCCTAGGCAACTACTGATCTAAATTCTACAACTATAGTTTTCATTTTGAGGAATTTATATAAATGGAATCATGCAGTATATACTTTGGTTGAGGGGTGTGGGTGGCTTCTTTCAGCATAATTACTTTGAGATTAATTCACACTGCGTTTCAGTAGTCCACTCTTTCTAGTTGCTGAGTAGTATTCTGTTGTATAAGTATACCACAGTTTATCTGTTCACCTGTTGTTAGTTATTTGGATTGTTTCCAATTTTTGGCTGTTAAAAGTAAAATGGCTGTGAACATTTGTGTACCGTCTATACTTTCATTTCTCTTGGATGAATACTTAGGCATGGAATGAATGGCTGGATTGCGTGGTAGGTGTATATTTAACTCTAAGAAACTGCTAAATTCTTTTCCAAAGTTGGTGCACCATTTTACATTTCCACTACTGATATATGAGTCCTAGATGCTCTAAGTCCTTTGTATGGCTATGTTGTCATTTACTTTTTAATAAAACATTTTATTCTTTTCCACTTGTGTTTCTGCAACTTGTGTTTACATTTAAATGTTTAATAATGCCTAGAATGTGTTTTGGTGTTTGCTAAAAGGGAAGAGATACGTTAAGAAATCAGTTTTAATATTTCGTTCAAAAGATAGTTGTTTCTGCATCATTTTATTAAATAGTCTATCATATTTGTATGGATTTAAAACTTGCCTTCCTAAGGAATTGTTTCAGGTGAATACATTTTTCGGTTCTTTGCCTATTCTTCAAAACCTAAATGTTTAGATATTAGAAAAAAATGTACCATAAATCAGAAAGTTCTCCACTTACTTTAAGGAAATGAAATTATGAGGCTCATGTTCTATATATGAGATTAATTGAGTTCTCAATGAAGAATTATTGTCATAAGATTTCAAAAATGTACATTCATATCTTTTGGATAAGTATTTTTTTGTCCAATTTGTAATCATTCTAAAAACATAACTCTGGGGACACCTGGGTGCCTCAGTGGGTTAAAGCCTCTGCCTTCAGCTCGGGTCATGGTCCCAGGGTCCTGGGATCGAGCCCCACATCAGGCTCTCCACTCAGCGGGGAGCCTGCTTCCTCCTCTCTCTCTGCCTGCCTCTCTGCCTACTTGTGATCTCTGTCTGTCAAATAAATAAATCAATCAAAATAAATAAATCTTTAAAAAATAATAATAAATAAAAACACAGCTCTGGATGAAATGATCTCTCCAGGCCATGTATGATTCTACCTCTTGATTACTATTTCTGCAGTCTCCAAGCTTAGAAACCTTAATACCATGTTTGGTCCTGTTTTCTGCATTCCTTCAGTCCATCTGCTTCCAAGTTCTGTTTCTTTTAGAGCATCACCTAGTTTATCCCATTTATCCATTCCCATGTGCCATAGTCTTAAAACCTCAGTGCCCTTTGTATAATTCCCTGTTATCCATATTACATTGATTCCAGATCATTTTTCTAAATGACTTTTTTATTAAGTTTAAAAAAGTTAATTCTTTTTTGTCTTCACATCACATTTAGGGTTCTATTTTACATAATGTAGTCTGAGTCGAGTTTTAGTTCTTAGCACCCATACAGAAGTCATTTGCTTTTAATCATATTGATCTCTTCCTTCTTGCCATGTTTATGTCATTGTATTTTTTTTTTTTTTAAGACTCCCATTTATTTTGAGAGAGAGTGCATGAGTCGGGGAGGGGAAGAGGGAGAGACAGAATCCCAAGCAGACTGCACACAGAGCCCAAGCCCTGTGTGGGGCTTGATCCCATGACCTCGGGTGGCCCAGCTGAAATCAAGAGTCAGATGCTGAGCCACCTAGGCGCCCCTATGTCATTGTATTTCTTTATCGGGTTTCCTTTGTATAATACAACTTTTTTTCCTATTACCTTTCTTTCTAAATTTAGCTTAAATCTTCCTCTCCCATAGATACTTCTTTGACTCTCTCAGACCATGATTTCCCCTCTGAATACCTGCAGTAAATGTCTCCATTCACTCTGTTTGATCCATGGCCACTTCCTTGGACATGTTAACCATGCCCTTGTCGATTCTCTGTGCCTGAAAAAGTGTTCTCTATATCTCATTGTGACTTGTTTTCTTAACTGTTTGCAGGTCCTGGTGCAAATGACACTTTCCCATTGAGACCTTCCTTGAATGTCTTATTTTAAATTCAGTCTGCTCCTTAGTGTCTGTACCTTTCCTTGATTGTTTTTTTGCATAGGGTGCAATACATCTGACATATATTTTACTTGTCTGTTTTTGTTTCCTTATAAGTTCATTGACGGCAAAGGTTTTTGTTTATTGTTTTTTGGCCAGTACCTTGAATAGTGTACTGCACATGGCATATGCCCACTAAGTACATAAGTGAATGAATAAATGTTTTAAGTTGGTGTTAATTGTTCTTTAGTTAAATAAAGGCATTAGTTTGGGCACCTGGGTGGCTCAGTGGGTTAAAGCCTCTGCCTTCAGCTCAGGTCATGGTCCCAGGGTCCTGGGATCGAGTCCTGCATTGGGCTCTCTGCTCCGCAGGGAGCCTGCTTCCTCCCCTCTCTCTGCCTGCCTCTCTGCCTACTTGCAATCTCTGTCAAATAAATACAATCTTTAAAAAAAAAAATAAAGGCATTAGTTTAATTTGTTTAGTTCTTTGAAGGTTGGCATGGAGTGACCTGGCAACATTAAGTACTAACTGACTGAAGGTGTAGAATTAGAAACTTTGACCACACAAAGGCAGGTGGCACTTTATATTCCACAGCCCATCAAGATACTAAGCATAATTAACTTTCAGTTCTGAGTAGATCTTAAAGTTACTTAATAAATTTGTTACTTAGTAAATTAGAATAATTTCTGGTTACTTAATTATAGTAACCTCCTGTGTATATAAAAAATACATATTCCTTTAGACCATTTAGAAAATATAGAAAAGGAGCACCTGGGTGGCTCAGATGGTGGAGTGTCTGCCTTCGGCTCAGGTTGTGATCCCAGGGTGCTGACTGAGCCCTGCATTGGGCTCCCTGCTTGCTTCTTCCTCTCCTGCTGCTGCCGCTCCTGCGTGTGCTCTTTCGCTCTCTCTGTCAAATAAATAAAGTCTTAGAAAAAAATACAGAAAAGTATGGACTATATAAAATGTCCACAAGAATTAAGTAATGGAAATTTATACACTGTAGGTGGGAATAGAAATTAGACCACTTTGGAGAACAGTTTGTCAGTATTTAGTGAAGTTAAAGATCGATGTTCTACAACATAGCAGTTCTCTTAAATGGTTACACATGTGTATCAGGACTTAGGGACAATGTTTATGGCTGCTTTCTTTGGGGAAAAAAGAAAAGGAAATAACCCAAATAAATATTCATTAGCGGAAGTACTTATAAAAGTTCAGATCATGCAAAATTAACATCATTTAGAGACATAAAATAAGGGAGGTAAACTGTTCCTCCATCATCACAGAGTCTCTGGCTGGGAGTGACATAAGACGAAATAACAGGAGAAAAGCAAAGCTCATTTTATATTTACATGGGAGCCCTTGCTAGAATAATGAAGACCCAAAGAAGTGACTAGACCTAAGTGCTTATACACTAGGTTGAATGGCAGAAATTGTGGGAAAGTAAAATATATGTGTAGACTAAGGAAGATAGTTATTTTAACAAGGTGTGTTTCGATTTCTCTTGGCCTTGACTCCCTATGTTCAGTGATAAGTTTGTTTCTTCCTTCTGGTATTGGGAAGGCACCTTTCACATGGGAATTTTCAAGTGTCTTCAGTTCACAATAATCAGTATGCCTAGTGGCCATGTCCGGAAGTCCTTTAATACATATGTAGCAAAACTAACAAAAAGCAAGGAGATTATATAAACAAAATTTAGGGTGGAAAGGGTGGAAGATGAGACTTAGGGACGGATATATATTGACTTCATCTCTGTTGATAATGTTCCATTTCTTAGTCTGAGTAATGAATTCACAGGTACTATGTTATTTTTTTTACCCTTTTTGTAGATAATTTTTCATAATAATTTGTAAAGGTAGTGGTAATGTCATGTATAGGGAAAGTTGACAGGGTGTAGGAGGTTTACAAAGAGAGAAGACCTGAATATAGTTGGTAGAGAAAAAGAGAGACTTGTTTAGTAAAAGAGGAGATTTGGTAAATACCATTAGGACCCAGTTACAGTTGGAAGCTAAGAAATAATATTTTCCAGGAGTGTTTAGCTGCCTACTATAAACAGCAATTGGTTGCATGGATTCAGGACTCATGTTTATCAAATAGGTATAAAAGATGGGCAATGGGGGTTTAGATTATTGGCAAGAGTAGTGGAAGATTCACTACTTTAAAGATTAATTAAAAAAATAGGGGCGCCTGGGTGGCTTAGTGGGGTAAAGCCTTTGTCTTTGGCTTGGGTCATGATCCAGGGTCCTGGGATCAAGCCCCACATTGGGCTCTCTGCTCGGTGGGGAGCCTGCTTCCCCCCACCTCTCTGCCTGCCTCTCTGCCTACTTGTGATCTCTCTCTGTCAAATAAATTTTTTAAAAAAGATTAATAAAAAATAGAAAAATCAAGGGATTAGTGGCATCTGTAAGAGCAAAGAAAAGATAGTGGAAATAAATGAGCAAGAGAGCTATATATTCTGTTGAAGTCAGAAGCATTGTAAGTTGCACTGTTACTTTATGCATCATTAACAAAACACTACCAATTAAACTATAATATTCTTATAAGTTAGAATTCTAATTATATATTTACTATACAATATTGAAAGTTCTTTTAGACTTAATAGTATGTAAATTTTTACCTCTGGTTACTCTTACACATATATTAAAAATCAAAATGTGAATAAAAATAATTAGTTAAGGGTTCCTAAAACTTTTTCAAATCTGGAAGTTTTTTGTTTGTTTGTTTTCTTGATTGTAGTGAATTCTCACTCATTTTGTTCAGATTTTCCAAGGAATGCATATGAAGGAGTCATGATCAATCAGTCTTTTTTGAACTTATTTCTTCACTCAGATTCATTGATGACTGCATTTTTCTAAATTTATCATTCTTTCTGACATCAAGCTTAAGTATGGTCATAAGGAGGGTATTTGTAGGTAATGAACTAGGCATGTTAAGTAGTAAGCCCAAGTGGGACTCCAGAGTAAATTATCTCTGTAATTGCATAATTTTAAGAAATGTTATGTTACCAACACTTGATGATATTCATTCTGCAGATTTTGGTGCTGATGCTGTTTTAGTATTTACACACATGCAGGTAGAACCAACTACTAAGAATACCTCTTGCTCAACAGCGGTTAGATGATGCCTGCTGTATGAAGTGTATCCTGATTTCATCAATATAAGTATATGAAATAATGTACATCTTCTATACAGTGAAATTTGGTGGGAAAGTAGTGGTGGTTGTTGGTTTGGTTGTCCAGATTTATAGTTTCAGAGCTGGAGCAGTCACAGATAATGACAAGGGTGACAGTGATAGGGTAGCTACTTGGAGAGGAAACCATCATAACTGGACCTGAGGAAAACAATGTCAGGTCACTGTGTTGTACGGATTATCTGTGATGATGATGGCATGATATAAAGCAGAGAGGAAAACTGAGATCAAGGTGTCAGAGATAGTAGTAAAGGATTCATAAATTGAAAGTAAAAAGGGATAAAGGTAACAGTTATATATAAAGCAAAAACTTCAAAGGAGTAGAGGTTTTACTTTTACCCACAGTGTATGACACTAGAATCAGGAGGAGACACAGTGTCTTCCTAATGTGAAGTATGTAAACCATGAGCAGCCTCAGAAGAAAGGGTATCTTTGGGGAAGAGACAGTTTCAGTCAAGGAAATAAAGGTTCATCAAAGAGGATGAGAATCCAGGGATTATAGAGGACATCATGGGAAGGTTTTAATCAAGGTCAAAGACACAAGAAGCAGTGTGGCCATAATATGAGAGGGAATGATTAGTAGTGAACATGGACTAACATGGATATAGCATAAAAGTTTGCCCATACCATTAAATGTTGTTGAAAACAGGCTTTTAAATGGCTGCAGAACTTTGTGTTGAAGGGTATACAGCTCACTTAACTCATCTTCTGATGTTGAAAGGTTGCTTCAAGTTTTTCACTAATGTGAATGGATATCCCATTATATAATACAGTGACTATAATAGGTCCTAAATCTTTTTGTATATCTTTTTTTAAAAAATCTATACAACAAACTCCTGAAAGTGGAATAATTACTGGTTCAAAAGAAACATATTTTTTCAGGCTTTTAATTCATTTTGCCAAATTGGAACCATTTCACACTTTCATAGCATAGGAGTGTGTACTCATTACCTTGCCAGTATTGGATGATATAACTTTAAAAATCTGTACCAATTTGATTGATGATAAAAGTTACTATTTTCATTTTCATCTCCTTAATTATTGGTAAGATTGAATATTTTTTCATATAGTTAATGGTCATTTATATTTTCTAAATTTTTCTGTTTATAGCCATGTCCATTTTTTCATTCTGAGCTTATATAATAAAAATTTTGTGTATTTTTGGCAGCTCTTAAACAAGCTTTGTACTTAAATGAGAATCATGTGAATGTGGACAAACAAAGCTCATAATAGAGACTGCTGAGTTGTAGGACCTTTAGTAAATGATCTGTTGCTAAGTTAAGAAAAATAATAAAGAACAGGAAGTTTTCATTTCTGAGTTCTCAGAGCACAACCAAAAATTATAGCCATAACCCATTTGAGGAAGGACTGATTCTTTAACTGTTTTTTCTTTAGTTGAGAACTGTTTTGGATAAGTGGATAAGTAAATGTCTTATTTAATAAAGAAGGCTATATATGATTTTTTAAAAATTTGTGACTTATTAGTTATGGGAAAAGATTGATTTCTGAAAGAAAAACAAAAGAATATTCAGAACCCTTTTCTGAATTTTTTTTTTAATTTTGTTTCACTTTGTAAAGAAAATTTTTGTGACTAAAGAAAGGTAATTCAGTAATATAAATTAATGGTCCAGTATCTTATTTCTTTCCTGGAGTCATTAAACTCTATTCCATGTATTACTAAAGGAGCTCTAGTAATACATATAAAGCTATTTCTCTTGTAGCAGTTATCAAAAGCCCAGGAGTCAACCCATCCAAACATGCATAGTGATGTAAGAAATGCAAAATCATGTGGTTTCTCTTGCATTTATCTGAACTAATTGTGAAGGTTTTAAAAACCATTTCCCTTTTAATTAGATCATGTTTGTCCAACTGTATCCCAATAAAACATTAGATTGATAATTTTTTTTATTTTTAGATTTTATTTGTGAGAGAGTGTAGGGCAAGAGAGAGAACAGGTTGGTGGTTGGGGTAGAGGGAGAGGGAGAAGCAGACCCCCCACTGATGCAGGGCTCCATCCCAGGGCCCTGGGATCATGACCTGAGCCGAAAGCAGCCATTTAATCCGACTGAGCCACCCAGGTACCCATTTAAATAATTCTTATTCTCTACACAAAACAAACTACCAGGGGAGGTAGTAAAGACTAAGAATAGCCAGTCACGGTGATTTTCCTACTTCTGCAGTTTATATACTTGATAACCATGTGTGTGTGTGGAGAAGAGGGTATTGTTATAATTAGTATCTCTAAAATGGACCTGGCATTTTATCTCTTCATGTTGATTTCTTATTTGGAAATTAAGCTAAAAGAAACCTACCAACTCTTAGATTAGACATAAAAAATTAAGATGTTGATCAGATATGGTTCTGTTCCCACTTTCAGTGCTGTACACATAGTAGGCTCTCAGAACATGTTTGTTGAATCAAGTTGAAATATTTGCAAGGAACTACTACTTCAGGTTTTATAAAAGGTTATTTCCCTGAGGTTTTTGGTACAAAACCTATTTTGAAAGATTCGTGTGGTACAATAGCAGTTCTTGCACTTTTATGACAGTTGGAATGTTTACATAAGAGCCAATTTATTAACTTGAATTGTGTTTTCTTTAAGATACAGGCCCAGGTCACCTGGGTGGCTCAGTCAGTTAAGCAGCTGACACTTGGTTTTGGCTCAGGTCATGATCTCAGGGTGGTGAGATCAAGTTCCTGGTAGGGCTTTGCGCTGGGTGTGGAGACTACTTGAAATCTTAAGAGTCTTTTTTTCTCCCTCTCCTCCCTCTGCCCTTCCCTGCTACACTCGAGCTTGCTTTCTTTGCACTCTCTCTTTAAAAAAAAAGGGGGGGGTGAAGGCCCTTACAGGGAGTAATTTTTATCTTCCTACATTTGAAACTAATGATAATTTGTAGTTTTATTAGAAGGCACTATTAATAAATACTCCCTTCTATTATTTTGTGAACAACTGGTCTTCAAACATAAAATTAGAATAATTGCAGGTTTGCTAATTTTTTTAACCATTTTTTAATTAAAATTTTTTTATTTTTTATCAACATAAAATGTATTATTAGCCCTAGGGGTACAGGTCTGTGAATCGCCAGGTTTACACACTTCACAGCACTCACCATAGCACATACCCTCCCCAATGTCCATAACTCAACCACCCTCTCCCTACCCGCCTCCATCCAGCAACCCTCAGTTTATTTTGTGAGATTAAGAATTTCTTATGGTTCGTCTCCCTCCCAATCCCATCTTATTTCATTTTTTCCTTCCCTACCCCCTAAACCCTGCACTTTGCCTCTCAACTTCCTCATATCAGGGAGATCATATGATAATTGTCTTTCTCTGATTGACTTATTTTGCTCAGCATAATACTCTCTAGTTCCATCCACATCATCGCAAATGGCAAGATTTCATTTCTTTTGATGGCTGCATAGTATTCCATTGTATATACCACATCTTCTTTATCCATTCATCTGTTGGTGGACATCTAGGTTCTTTCCATAGTTTGGCTATTGTAGACATTGCTGCTATAAACATTTGGATGCACATGCCCCTTCGGATCACTACATTCGTATCTTTAGGGTAAATACCCAGTAGTGCGATTGCTGGGTCATAGGGTAGCTCTATTTTCAACTTTTTGAGGAACCTCCATGCTGTTTTCCAGAGTGGCTGCACCAGCTTGCATTCCCATCAGCAGTGTAGGAGGGTTCCCCTTTCTCCTCATCCTTGCCAGCATCTGTCATTTCCTGACTTGTTAATTGTAACCATTCGGACTGGCGTGAGGTGGTATATCATTGTGGTTTTGATTTGTATTTCCCTGATGCTGAGTGAGGTGGAGCACTTTTTCATGTGTCTGTTCGCCATCTGGATGTCTTCTTTGCAGAAATGTCTGTTCATGTCCTCTGCCCATTTCTTGATTGGATTATTTGTTCTTTGGGTGTTGAGTTTGATAAGTTCTTTAAAGATTTTGGATACTAGCCCTTTATCTGATATGTTGTTTGCAAATATCTTCTCCCATTCTGTAGGTTGTCTTGGTTTTGTTGACTGTTTCCTTTGCTGTGCAAAAGCTTTTGATCTTGATGAAGTCCCAACAGTTCACTTTTGCCCATGCTTCTCTACCTTTGGCGATGTTTCTAGGAAGAATTTGCTGCATCTGAGGTCAAAGAGGTTGCTGCCTGTGGATTTTGGTGGATTCCTGTCTCACATTAAAGTCTTCCATCCATTTGGAGTCTGTTGTTGTGTGTGGTGTAAGGAAATGGTCCAGTTTCATTTTTCTGCATGTGGCTGTCCACAATTTTCCCAACACCGTTTGTTGAAGAGACTCTTTTCCATTGGACATTCTTTCCTGCTTTGTGGAAGATTAGTTGACCATAGAGTTGAGGGTCTATTTCTGGGCTCTCTATTCTGTTCCACTGATCTATGTGTCTGTTTTTGAGCCAGTACCATACTGTCTTGATGATGACAGCTTTGTGCTAGAGCTTGAAGTCTGGAATGGTTATGCCGCCAACTTTGGCTTTCTTTTTTAACATTCCTCTGGCTATTCGACGTCTTTTCTGGTTCAATATAAATTTTAGGATTATTTGTTCCATTTCTTTGAAAAAACTGGATGGTATTTTGATAGG